GCGTATCATTAGCTATCCGAAATCAATTGAAAATCCTGTTTGAAAAGGAAATTGCCGGTGTTGCTCATTGACTTATATGTTTAATCATTCCAAATATACCTCGATTTGTGATTTAATGTCCAAACAAGAAATTTCTTTCAAAACGATTCCTCACAAAAATACTATTATATCTGATAGTTTAACTATATGGACTAGCACTTGGCCTGCAAATGTCAGGTCGGACCATCCCAAAGACTGGCATACCTGTTCCAAGCGATGGATACAAAACAGTAAATGCTATGTCCCTTTTAGGTGTCAAACTTACACAGCTCATTTCCTTTGTTCTATTCATTTAAAAAAAATTATTAGATTTAATTAATTAATTAATTAAAATTATTGATTTAAAAAAAAAAAACCTGTTAATCTATTTCTTTTGATCAAAAGAAATATACAACGATTTTCAAATTCTACTTTCAGAATTTTTTTGCAGAAACTTTTTTACACAAGAGAAAAATTCGTTTCTAAATTCTAGAATTTTCAAGAATTTAAGGTATTCAAGCAGTCTTTGGGAAATTTCCAACGGTTTATGTCATTATAAACATTGTTTGAATATTAACACTTTTTAGTCCAATAACCCACGAAACATATATCATAAAGTTTTTAAAGCAATATGAGCTGCAACTTTGATGTCGGAAATCGTTGATGCAAAATTTAATTAACTATTTAAATGACAGGGAAAAAGAATGTTTATAAACTTCTGTTGTTCATATTTGCGATGGAAGAATAATTTTTTAGGCTTGATTGAAGCAAAATTACATTATTGTCGTCCTTATGTAATATTATATATTCAGTTGTACAGAAGTCTTTCTTCTGAAACAATTTAATATTTTATTTAAGTCAAATTGATCAAAAAGTTTAAATTACATGAAAATTTATCGAGATAGCACATTTTAACAGCAAAATTAAATTCTCAAAAATGCAGCTCATATTGCTTTAAAGGAAAACAAAAGATTTTTAATAACATGGCTTCATATTTTAATAAATTTAAAGTTTATGAAACAAAAATGAAGAATTTCTTAAAAGAATAAGTGTTTTTTTTTGGTTTGTATTAAGTGTATATTTAGTACAGTAGTAAGCTTATAATTTTTGGTGTGTACAGTAATACCGGCACCGCAATACAGTATAATTCTGAAGTATAATCAGATGCTTCTTTGTTGGACATCATCCTCATACGTACCAAAAATACGAGGAATGTCCTTAAAAGTCGTAAACAATGTTTATAACTTTGTAACCATTCAACCAATGTTAACCAAATTTTGCATAGCTATAATTTATTCAATGTTCCTTAAAATATTGAATTCTTAAATAATTATCTTTCAAAGTGATAATATTATGATGATTTATAAGATGGCCAATATGGTCTGTCGGCGCACAATTGAAATCCGGAATGATTTACGTATGTAATTATTTCAATTGCATTTGTTTCTCTTATAATATGTACAATATAAAATTCAAATTTATATAAGTTAAATCAGAAACAAAATCTTAGTGATATGTCAGATTTTTACATAAATAGCATCAGAGACATACGATTGGTGTAATTTTCAAAGTGCTGGCTGAATCCAGTTTGACGTCTTAAAACGCGTTCGTGGCGCACGGGGATAAAATGAATATTGTTTTGAATGTGGTTTGCGGAAAAAGATATAGAAGTGACATCACACACTAGAACGTTAGTAGAGAAGTCGTTTATAAATGCAATAAGAGATTCAAGGACAGGTTCACCTCCGTACCAAAAAAAATATAAAGGCCAAGAATATTCAGACATTGAGGAACGGTATGGGTCATGATAGAACTTTGCGTATTCTCTGCTTCCTACAATGTAACGACCTTTCGAGGGCTGAAATTTGAATCTGATCAAGAAAATAAAAACGGTGGTAAATCTGAATGAGTTCCCCTAGTTAAGAGTGGTTTGACAATTTGAAAAATCAAGGAGATGCTTAAGAGAAGAGTGTTGAGCACACATGCGAGTACTTAGAAAATATGATCATGACGTTATGTTTGTTTGTTTGTTGTTTAACGTCCTTCTCGAGAATTTTATACTCATATGGAGACGCCACCACCTGCCGGTGGAGAGCTGCAAATTTTGACCTACACTCGGCACTTAGGGCCATTGAGCAGTGAGGGATCTTTTTCATAACAGCACCTACTGCGACACGGGACCTCGCTTTATACGGTCTCATCCGAAGGCGTTATGAGACGTAAATTACGCTAGCTTTCGTGCGCTGAAGAACATTTATATCCTTTCCTTATATTTACATTATTTTCTAATGAATGTGTTATTATCATGGAATTTTAAATTATGATCATTAAATCTTGCTTTTACTATGACAAGAAAAGAAAGTTAATTTAGCAAAGAGAAACTAAACTGTTTCCCTGCCACGACGTTACTTATGTTTACATTTTGACCTCACAGTCACTCATATCTGGACCAAAATTAATAAGTATTTAGGTATGCATAATTTACTGAAACTTAATTCAACAAACAATCCATGTTTTATCCCTTATTGTATTCTATACACAGCCACGTCTTATCTTGACGTAATGACAACCAAATATGAAGACAAAGAAATTGTTCAGAGGTCACACGAGAGGACATGCGGTTATTAAGAAATAACCCCAAATTCACCGAATAAATAGGGTTTATTTTTCTCAAAACATACATTTGGCAACTATTAAATTACGTACTTTGCCATATGCTAAATTCATTACTACTAAAAATCCCAAAAATCCCGAACGACTAATCATAAAATCCAATTTGATGGCAAGTTCCTTACTACAACACACAGGTTACCATTACTGGTGTTCTATTCTATAAATAGACGCCTAGAAAAAAAATTATCTTCCATTTAAACTAGAAATTGATTTTCTTTAAAAAAAAAATTAGCTTCTCCCAGATATATATCCCAGGTCAAAGCTGTTAGATCTTAGGAGAAATTAAATAGCTCTTCTTCTTTGTCCGACTCTAGTTTTGTTGAATACTTTTGCTTAGCACAATTGTTCTGTGTCAGTGGGCCATGCGTCAGAGTCCTTAATGAACAGTCTAATTCTCATCTAAAACAAATAAATTAAAAGAACAGATGAATAAACAGAAGTGTAAGTTTGATAAAAATTGTTTTCAAACCCACCATGAAAATTTACATTGTAAAAACCCACCATGAAAATTTACATTGTAAAACGCCTTTTTAAGAGAACTTATTATTTATTTAGTTTCTCCTATAGTATGAAAAATACTGTATTTAAATACTGTATGGAATAATTATGCTTTGCTAATGAATGTCACGCAAAACGTAACATGACTCACATTAGTTTGATATATTAGGTTAAATATTACCTTTCAAAAACCTTTTTGGGAATATTCTTACTCCATATGTTAGAGATTGGAGGCTATTGCACATCCTATTACACATGAGTCACATAAACATGTTTCGTGGTGGAACCAGTGAGTAACGTAAAGACACTCAGAGCATGTTATCCGTACACACTTAGCGGAAGTGATGTTCAAAAGTGCTGGAACACATTTAGTAATTTTTTTGAAAGCAGTAGAGAACTTTTTTCGACATTTTAATTTTAAGAAATGATATTTTTCAGTGAAGAGTTCTAGATATATTCTTCAAATTTTATTTTATTTTATTTTTTTTTTTTTTTTTAAAACATATTCTATAATTTCTTGAATCAGCTTGTTACAATTTTTGTTACAGTTTTTGTGATGCTACACTGACATTCTAACACGGCCATTTAATTGTCTCTGTTTCTGGATACAAGCACAACATATCTAATTAAAATTGATGGTAATTGAAATCGTTCATGGATTCAGATGACAATACACAAAAATTTAGCTTTATGCAATGATTGCCAATCGTTTGGCTTTTCAGCAAACACGATATCTATTGAATAAAAGGTTTTGATGACAAGCATTTTTTGCAAAATATCGATTTTCTATTTTAAAAGACAAAAGGCAGGAAATCTAATGTACAATAGATGCCTTTAGCAACTATGCCAGACAAACGACAGTATATTTAATCTTTTTATTGTGCGTGCGTTTTATCTTATGGGTAGTTTTATCTTTGTAGTTCGGGTCCGCTTCCCCCAAAGATGAGAAGGTGGTGTTGCTCCCCTTCAGATATTTTAGAAGTTTTCCTAAATTCATACAAAAATGTGTTTTGATGTAAACAGAGAGTATGGTTCCCCCTTCCCTCTTCTTACACTTGGTCCTTGATTTTATCAAACATTTTTTCAAACAACATTATGATCTTGTTTCATCCCGGAAAAAAAATGCACTCTCGACCATAATAAAATAACTATGCTATTTGATATAGGAATCGATATCTAAAAAAAATTCTAATGAAAAATATTGCTCATCAACAGCCTTTACTTTTATTCTATTAACAATTATAAACTTATTTTCAGTCATAATAAACTAATCAATATTATGTTGTTAATTCACTGACTCTTAAAATGTCCAGAAATAGTAGTATTAAGGAAAATACTTCAATTTTGTGTATATCTTATCCAAATTATATACAGTATATCAATTTTTTAATGCTTTAGTTTATTGCAAGTGTATTGTATTGAGTTTAGATTCATGATGTATCACACCGCCCTCAAAGACCATATACAATGGATAGAAATCCTAAGCTTTAATCAATATCTGGAAAATAAAATTACTTTTTTTTATCTAAATTGATCTATGAAGGAAAGATTTTTTAAAAAAAATTCTTTCTTCAGCAGCAATAAATTAATATGAAAACGAAAAGTAAAACACATAAACACACACACAAATAATAAGATTAAAAAAATAAAATACAAAGAATAAAAAAGATTTTTTCTGTTAAATTATATGTATATGAATATATATAATTGACCTTAAAGTAAATGTTATTTTTTTGTAGGTATTCTTGTGAACATTAAAAAAGTATAGTAAAACAAGAACCGCCAGTGAACAGGAACATCATACAAAAACCATGGATGTTGGTGACGTATTAAATCGACTTCGCCGCAATGCAAACTCTACTTCATCTTCTTCAGAAGAGGATGCCTTTACAGAGTCCAATAACTTGGCGATGTTTGTTGTAATCCCTATTCTAGTTATAGTGTATGGTGGCTGCGCCTGCATATACTGCTGCTATCAATGCAGGCGTTACCTCAAACGAAAAAATATCTTTCACGAAATAATAATAAGGATCCGTGGGAGAGAGGCGGAGGAAGACAACGAAGAATATGAAACGCAGGAAGATACCATGCAAGAAAGTCATCCGGATGAGGAATCTCAAGTTGAAGCTGAAAGTGGAGGTCATTACGTGCATTCGAACCACAGTTCCCCTGGACCGGATGGGGCCGTGCGGTATGTCGATTACGACACAGATTTACGATCAGCGATGTCTACACCTGGAATTCAGTATACAAGGAATAACTCTATAAAAACGAAAAGGACAAAGCTTGTCTTGGTTCACAACGGAACTGATTCAGAAATGAGGTCTGATTCAGGGATATTAGAGGATTCCTCATCGATTCATAGGATATCGGGTGATAACTCACTTGTGATAGAAGAAATTGATCATTCTCTGAAAGAAACAAACTGTACAAGAGAATTTGCTTCAAATGGTAATACATCATTCACTACAATCGGAGGCACAATATATGCTACAAACGGAAGCACAACGAACACTACAGATGATAGCATATCAATTGCCACAGAAAATAGAAAATTTTACTCTACACAAGATAATACATCAATCGCTGTAAATCATGCTACACAAAATGACGAGAAAGGGAATACATTAATTGCTAAAAACAGAAGCAAATCAATAGCAATAAAATGTAGCGAACCAGCGCCAAATAACGTCACAAAAACAGTTGCAATACACAGGAAATCATCTACTACAAACGTAAACTCATCATCTATGGTAAACGGTAGCACAGAATCTGCTGTTAACGAAAGCACGATATTTGCTACAAACGATAACACACAAAATATTAAAAAAGATAACACATCATATTCTACAAACGGTAACGTGTCATTTGTAACAAATGATAGCACACAATTTATTACTCACGGTAGCAAACCATTGGCTGCAAACGGTAGTAAATCAGCCGCTATCAATGGGAGGGCATCTCCAGCAGATGAAAACATATCGTTAAATACCAACAGTAACACAATTTATGCTACAAACGGTTACACAGAATTTGTCTCAAACGGTAGCAAACCCTTGGACATGAAAAATAGAACATTTTCTACAAACAGAAATTCATATGTTTCAAAAGAAAGTACTACAGATGTTACAATCGAAGGCACATCTGCTACGAATTGTACCACAATATATGCTACAAACGGTAACGCAACATTTCCTACAAACGACAATGCTCAATTTGCCTCGGTCCCTATCAAGCCAGTGATTACTAATGATAGCATATTATTTGCTTCAAATGGAAGAACATCATTTGAAACAAACCGAAACACACCATATGGTACAAACGGCAGCACACAATTCGCCTCAATCAATGACAAACCAGTGGCTACAAACAATGACACATCATTTGCTACACACGGCAATATACAATTTGTTTCAAACCATAGTAAATCAATATCTACAAATGATAATACATTAAATGCAACAAACGAAAACTCATCAAATGCTACAAACAATAACATGGCATATGCTGCAAATGCCAATACACCATATGCTACAAATGGCAGCTCACAATATGCCTCAATTCAAATGAGTTCAGTGTCCACAAACAATGACGCATCATTTGTAACAAACGAAATCACGCCATTTGATACGAAAGGGAGGACAGCAAATTCCTCATATGGAAGCACACCACATGCTGCAAATGGCAACAACCGGTTTGCCTCAAACCACAGAAAACCAGTGTCTTCAGACGATAGCACACAATTTGTCTCAAATGAAATTACATCATATGATCCAAACGATAACACATCATATGGTACATATGAAGGCACTTCATTTCCTTCAAACGATAGCATACAATCTGCTACATATGGTACCACACCATATGCTACAAATGGAAGAACACAATATGCCATGAACCAAAGGAAACCAGTGGTTACAAACAATGGTACATCATATACTACAAACGGAAACATGGCATTTGCTTCACACGATAGCACACAATCAGCTACAAATGGTAGCACACCATATGCTATAAATTTTAGCACACAGTTTGCTTCAAACCAAAGCAGACAAGTGGTTACAAACGGAAGAACATCATATGCAACACAGGAAAGTACGTCACTTGCTGCAAACGATAGCATACCATCTGCTACTAATGGTTCCCCATCGTATGCTCCAAATAGCAGTAGACAATTTGCCTCAAGCCAAAGCAAACCAATGGCTACAAACAATGGAACTTCATATGAAGTAAATGGAAGCATGTTGTTTGCTACAAACGATAACAAACCATCTGCTTCAGACGGTAACACACCATATGCTACAAATGACAGAACACAATTTGCCTCAAACCAAAGCAAACCCGTAGCTATAAACGAAAGCATATCATATTCTACAAACGGAAGCGCATTACTTTCTACAAACGGAAGTATACCATCTTCTACAAGCAGTAGTTCAACATATGCTACAAATGACAGCACAAAAGTTGCACCAAACCAAAGCAGACCAGTGCTTACAAGCAATGAATCATCATATGCAACAAACGAAAACACATTATTTGCTGCAAACGGCAGGACACAAAGTGTTTCAAACGATAGTACACCACAATCTACAAATGGCAGGACACAACCGACACAATTTAATTCAAACAATAGCAAGCCAGTGGCTGCAAACGACAGTACATCAATTGCTACAAAAGAAATCACACCCATTGCTACAAACGGTAGCACACAATCTGCATCAAACGATTGTGACTCATTTGCTTTAAACAGTAACACTACATTTGCTACAAATGGTGGCTCACCTTCTGCATTACATGGTAACTCATCGTTTGCCACTAATGTTGGCGAAATGTTGGATACAAATAGTAGCAATTTACTGGAAAAAAATCATCGAACATCATTTGCCCGAAAGGAAGACACATCAATTGTTAGGAGTGGTAACACACCATACGTTACAAATAAAAGAACACATTTCCCTATGAACGATAATGAAAAATCAAATGCTACAAAAAGTTACAAACCATATGTTTCCAACCAGTACACAGCAAATGCTACAAACGGAAGCTCACAAAGTGCTGCAAGCGAAAGCGAAACAAACGCTATAAAGGAAAGGGCAATCTTTGCTACAAACGAGGACACGGCATTTTCTACAAACACATGGGCTCCAAATGCCACCAACGAAAACCCATCATTTGATGCCAACAGTAACAGACCAAATTGTGGAAACGGAAACATGCCATATGCTACAAATGGTAACACATCATTTCATATAAACAGTGGTACTTCATGCACAAAAAGCAGTAGTGAACCCTTTGCTACAAACGGTAATACATTACATGTTGCAAACTGTACCACACCATATGGTGCAAACCAAAACACACCAGTTACCTCAAAGGGTAATAAATCATTTGCTACAGATGGCAGCTTACCATACGTTACATACGAAAGACCGTCATTTCCTACGAACAGTAACAAAGCTTATGCTACAAAAGGAAACATACCAGATGCTGAAAACGGTAACACTTCATTTGCCCCGAACGGTGGCACACCATATAGTCCAAAAGGTAACCCACATAATGCTACAAACGATAGAAAACCGTTAAATGGAAGTAATCAATTGGCTACAAAGGGCAGTACATCATCCGCTTTAAATGCTATCACACCATCTACCAAACACGAAAGCAAATACTTACCTACAAATAGTCGCAGACAGATGGCTACAAATGATAGCAATACATTGCCTATGAACAATAACAAACTATTGGCCATAAACGAAAGTAAACCGGTGTCTACAAACCTTAACTCACCATTTGCAACTAACGGAAGCCCATCATTCAGCAGAAATGGTCGCAAACCATTGGCTTTGCAAGGTCACTCATCATTAGCCACAAATGATAACAAACCAATGGCTAGAAATGACACTATGAACAATAACAAACCATTGGCCATAAACGAAAGTAAACCGGTGTCTACAAACCGTAACTCACCATTTGCAACTAACGGAAGCCCATCATTCAGCAGAATTGGTCGCAACCCATTGGCTTTGCAAGGTCACTCATCATTAGCCACAAACGATAAAAAATCAATGGCTAAAAATGACACTTCACGTGGTACAAGCGGTTACATACCATCTTTTGCAATCGAAAGCAAACCAACTGCTACTAACAGTAGCAAGCCATTGATCTCAAACCAAAGCAAACCAACTGTTACGAGCAGTAACACAACATTTGCTACAAAAGACAGCAAACCAATAAATACAAATGGTAGAAAACCATTAGGTGGCACAAACAGTGGCACATCACTTTCCGCAAACAATAGCAAGCCATTGGCTACAAACGGAAGTACACAATTTGTTGCAAATAGCACACCATTTGACACAAACGATGGTACTCCATCTGTTACAAACGGTAACACTCCATTTGTTATAAACAGTAGCCCACCGTGTGCCACTTACAGTAGCAAACCATTTTCTACAAACAGTAGCCCATCATTTTCCTCAAACAGTAGCAAACCAATAGACACTCAAGGTGGTAAACCATTGACTACAAATGGTTGCAAACCATTGAATGGAGACAGTAGTAAACCACTGGCTACAAATCTTAAAAGAACGCCATCACCACATCGTGCACAATATATTTCAACGTCAGAAAATGCATTTCAAGTTGAAGACATGCCCTTTCAGTTTATTTCTCCAAGAACCAAAGATGTTGGGCCAAGATATATGGACTGGAACAAAGGAGAAACAACGAGAAGATTTTGGAAATCGGACACAAAATATAGTTTTTCGTCCGATTCAGGAATAAGTGTAATAAGTGATCACAAAATGAATTATCCACTCTCAAACAGCGCAGTTGAGCCGAGAAAAACGGCTACTCATGGAAGTATTAATGCTCCACTCATTAATAGGGACCATACTTTAAGAAAAACATTATCATCTATGACCAAAAAAGATTACAAACAGTTCATTATTGGACCATGGAAGTGATAAAATCTCTCTACATGTATCTCTTCAGTTCGAGTGGAAGCTGTTGTCTTCGTTAAAGTACATGTATTTGTAAAATGAAAGGCAAAGATTCAGTTTTGTATGAACAAAATGAATTAAATAATACAAATGTAATGCCATTTCATGTGGATCAAGCAGAAAGAATATTTTTGGCTGTTACTTGAAATTTTCTACCAAATGTAGAATAAGATATTTCCCGGTAAATTATCTGTCATTTTTCACAATGTCAAGATTTTGTGATATGTGTATCTGAGGTAAATCATCACATATCTTTTGTAGGAGACTCCTTCCTTTCATAAATTTCTTCATGCTGATAATTTAGGATTGTAGAAATCGAGGAAAAATCATTTTCAGCATTATATACATATTGTCCATTTATTTTTTCCAGCTACCGCATATATACGGAGTTTATATTCCCTAATGATTGATTCTGTGTTTTCTAAGAGAGCATGTTTTTTAATCGTTGGATATTTTCATTCATCTATATTTAAAATACCAATTTTGAAATACATTTTCTCTTCTTATTTATCACAGACATATCATATTCTTATTGTCTCGAAACATGAATTATATTTTCATAAGAAAAATCAATGTTTGTTTGTCAATTTTTGTTTGTTGTTGTTTTGTTTTTAATAAAGGTGAAACACAGGAAAAAAACTAACTTGTAATATAAACATCCCATTTCATTTTTTCCTCATGGTTGTTCCTCCAAATAAATTGAAATATTACCCTGACGATGTGCATATGTGACAATGCTTCAAATATCATAAAAATATTTTCGATTTATTTTCCTTCAGTTTGCAAAATCCAAGTTTTTCAGAAAAAAATACGGCAACAGTCGACACTACTGTTTTCCGGCAATATTTGGCCCAATTTAATTCCAGCCCTTGCACCCTCATCGCAATTTGGCGAATTTAAAAAGGGATAAAAATATTGGCAAGTTTGAAAGGGCAAAAATTACACGGGCAAAAATAACCATATAAACAGTATTGTTTCTGTAAAGTAAGGACTAATTAGTACATATCCTTGCCCAATCGATAAAGAATGACATTTAAAGGTATTGTTTTATGACGCTACCACAGAAGGCACACTTGTATTAGTTTACGTTCACAAAGAAAAACGATAATTAAACACTTTAATTTCCGCTCTCAGCGCCTGGCATAATTCAAGGCCTGAACTATTGACAAAACATTGGCATGCTTTGGTGATAAAACGTCGTTCTGAGAATTGGAATTTATTGAAATGAATTCCTTGAAAGTTTGGTAAGCACAGCAATTTGATGAGTAGATTTTGTAATAAAAGAAGCTGATTGAAAACACACACATACATTAATTATATATGTTACAATGTAAAAATAAATGAAATTAGGAAATTTTATTCGAAAATATTAACACGTTTAACATAAATATAAACGAGCAAAACAGATGATTTTGGGAGAGTGTGACTTACTGATAAAAATGCATGGATTTAAATGAATTATGAAAAACTCGTATTATAAATGCGTAGGTGTGTTTGTGTATGTAGGCATATTTCACATAGACCAAGGATAGCAGCCGTGTATAAGCATTTACTGCATGTTTGATGTCTATATCTTTATCGCACGGTCTCCGGTCATCAATATACACATGTTCACATTACTAAATTAATCAAATGAAAAATGTATTTTTACTATTGTAATCATTCTTTGAACTTTCATTTTAACTTGATACTTCCAAAGTTAACAACCGGCTAGAATAGCCTAGTGGTAGGACGTACGCTTCATGATCGGGATGCCAGGGTCCGATTCTCGTTCGTCGCGCCACGTCAAACCTATGACTAAACATAGGTAGGTAGTGACTGTTCCTTCACCAAAAGCTCGGCATTAAGAGTGAAAGTCACGGATTTTAAATGAGACCTTTAAAATCGTGGTCCCGTGTCACGGTAGGCGTTGGCACGATTAAGAACCCTCACTTCTCAATGGCTCTGAGTGCCGAGTATAGATCTAAATTGGGGCCCTTCTCCGGTATATGGTGACGTTTTTATATGAATGAAAAATTCTCGAATGGGACGTAAAACAATATATACAATCAATCAATAGATGAATATTAACAGTAAATTGATGATAATTGCACATATTAATAAAGGTACCAATGAATTCCAAACGATAGCGTAATTTTTTTTTCTTCAAAATCATTCAATGATTTGAAAAAAAAAATTCAAAGGATACAAGAAATAACGACCTAAATACACATGCAATCTCATTAGTATTTCTTTCGCAAATTTAATTTTTTCATGCTAGATGAAACATCTTCTACACACATTTTTGTCCTCCGCAAGCGGAGATATTTAATCTCATTCGTCTGTCCATCCGTTCCTCTGCCTGTAAACTGTCGAAATCATTTTCACACTGGTCATGTCTTTTGAATGAAAAAAAGATAGGGCTTTAATATTTCACAAGTGTATAACCTGTGACAAGACTTTTCAAATGTACAATGACTTTTGACCTTTTGTAACTTTGGTAATACACAGGACGAAAAACCATCTTTAAGCAATCGCTTAACGGTGGCTTAAAGGTGGCTAAATGTGGCTTAATGTGGCTTAAGAAATTAATTTCATTAAGCCATCATAAGCTGCATTCATAGTGACTATTATGATATAAAAAGAATTAAAACTGAAGATATGTTAAAGAAATTTACCTTGTAGACTTAAATGTTACACAAAGATTTTCAATTACTTAACAATCAAAAAACCGTAAATATCCGCAGCATATTTATAAGAACTATAAGGACTTTTCGGCGATATATTCGGTTTTAATAACAAATTTTGTTATATCTGTTGAATTTCAATCTTATCATGCTTATACTACTGTGAATAAAAGAGGAGGAATAATTTGAATCAAAAAGTTGTTTCACACCGAACATCACACCGAGCTCCACGGTTAAGTAATTTTAACGTAATATAAAGGAGTATTTTTTAAAAATATATATAAAAGTACTTATTAATATTATTGATTAATAAATATTAACATAATCTATATTTAAAAAAAAATACATATACCATTTATAACTACAAGTCTCAAACAAATTTTATTGACAAAAAAGGCTTTTTATTTCCATTAAAAATCAACAACCGGGATAGCCTAGTGGATTATGCGTTCGTCCTCTAATCTGAAGGTCGTGGTATCGAATCCAGCACGGAGACGTCTTTCTTTTATATTAGGGATGGCAATTTGTAACCAGTTAACCAATTACTCGGTCAGAATGATAGTAATCAGCCATCCTTAAGACGTATAAGCCACCAGTAAGCCAAGCATCAAGGAAGTGTTTCATCTTGTGATAACTTTTGAATTAGACGATAAGAATTTCATATTTTCACATGGGCAATATCTGTGACAAGATCTTTTAGAATGTACTTGTGATTTCTGACCCTATTACCTCTAAGACTGTTCTAAACTTTTATCATTGGTAATAATTTCTTAATGGAAAGTAGGACTTTCGTATTTCACACCTGTATTACCTGTACACGTGTTGATTTTTTTTTAGAATGTACTATGATTTTTTAACTTTATGATCTTGAAGTTTTACCTACTTTTCAAAGAAAAAAAACCTTCACCATAATAGCTTTTGCATCGGAAGAGACAGGGTGTCCATATTTCACATGCACATTATCTCTGACAAGACCTTTCCAAATGTGTTATGATTTTATAATTTCATGACCTTGAAGTTTGACATGGTTTTCAAAATCTTTCAGAAAATCTTTCAGATTATATTTATATATATATATATATATATATAAAATATTTTTGCAAGTTAAAGTTATACTTGCGATTGAAACGAACAAATAAATGTTACCCCCTCTAGCATCCCGTCATTGTTCACATGCAGTGAAATCAACAGTGTAACTGTAAATCTTGTACTTTTATGGTGAGTGGTATCTATATCCGGTGATTGTGTTATCGTTAATTGTAATTAAATGGGCATAGACACAGATTTTTAGGTTACTTCCTTAAAAAAATTTCGGTAGAATTTCATTACTTAGGTGACTGTTTCAGACCAATATGTTATCTTAACAGGGATAATACTAAATCAGACTTTTAGACCCCGGTGACGATTTATCCAAATATGGCTAGTACAATGTATTAAGTCTGATTTGGTTCTGGGTCAGTATGAGGTTAAAGACAATGGGGAATAACTCCTGCAATCCTGTGCACTTAGTCAGAGTGACCCATAATAGTCAATACTCCGGGAAGGATTTACCTGCATTCCATTTTATTTCTACAGCCGAAATTACACTCCCAAATGACAAAGTAAATTTCCGCAGTTGATGCTTTCCTTTGGTAGGTTATGGGGAGTAACCCTGTGTTACCCTACCTGTATTAAAAAAGAAGTAAGAAAAGAAAAAAAGTCGTTTCGGATACTCCTTATCGACTTTAAAAATCCATCATTTTTATTTATGATAATATAAACAATGACACAAAATACAAAATATAATAAAGATAACCATCATAAATGTTTATGTGTATATTAGCAAGGTCTGGGCGGCCTCCGTTTTTGAAGGGTAGCTAGTTTTAATATGGTGGCAATTTTTTTTTACCATATATGGAAAATCGCATTGCATTGTGGGATAGCTTATTGTCTGATTTCAGAGGATAACAGAGGTAATTTTCAAACACCCCGGGCCTACCTTTAGTGGAAAAGTGCAAGCACCAGAATAAATGCAAATAAAAGATCAAATATTTAGCTATCGATTTTATGTGGCGATTTAAGAATCAATGTCTCGATATTTAGTAATTTATATTCAGAGTTGGCACTTTTTACCTCCATTTCTACTGAATATTTCGTGTTATTTTGTATAAAATCTTTATGTTTTTTCCCTATTCAGACAAATAAAAAGGGACTTTAACATTACTTTCATGTTTTCTTTTAATTCAGAAAAAAGAATAGTTGTATTCTTGTGCTTACACTTTTTCACTAAAAGAAGGCACGGGGCGTTTAAAAATTACC